AACTCGTGTCTTATTTTCAGTCAATCAAGTTAGGAGATTGTTTGACATATTTTTGCCGCCTTAAGTCTTTTACTACTCTGTCCTTGCCTGATTTTGCGTAGCACTAAAAAAAAGGAAACTAATAGTATAAAATCTTTAATATAAATTTCACATAGCAGTTACAATAATTATTCTCCATAAAGATATCCACAGCTTCTGGCGATCTCTGAAAATAAGATTGATTTGAGATAAGATAATTTCGTTTATAGCAAAATAATTGTCATTTTTTTTGAGTTTTTACTATTTTGTTTTCTGTTCTGTGTTCTGTCCTGCAGGAATCAGGTAAATCAGCATTTGTTTTCTCCATTTTTGCAGAAGTTTCCATTGTGCAACTTTGAAAACATCAGGTTTCCATCCTAAAATAATAGGAAAATTTAGATAGGATTAGAATAGGAAAATGTAAACAAATATTAGTAGGGTTAGGAAATTGTTTAAATCAGACAATGAACTCAAGTCACAGATTTTTGAATATTAAGTATTGAATGTGCAATATGCATTAATTCAAACTGTCCAAAAATAAACGAAAAATTCCCTAGAATTCGACTCGTGTAACCAGAAATTTTACTGTTGGAGGAATTTTTCTTTTTCTAGAATCACGCAGAAGAGAAGCCACGTTATAGGTTTCTTCTGAGGCATTTTGCCAATTTGAGTGAATATTTGGGAAGTAATTGAGTCTTAAACGTTGGTTATTATTCTTATATAACACCACAAAAAGTATATGCTAATTTAACAAGATTTCAGTACGTAAAAACTCAAATTCTGGAAAATAAGTTTGATTCGTATCACGTGTTGAGTGTCGAAAAGGCCGATCCACATTGGTAAGTCCCTATTATTCATCATTTTATTTTGTATTCTGATCCCTGTTAGAGTTTTATGTCCTCAAAAACGTAATTGATTGCCGTACTTACCTCAACTCTTGTTGAAATCGAGTTTTTTAGTGTGAACTCTCTCTTTTAGGCCTTTTATATTGGGTAACGTTACATCCCTTTCTGCTGTTGCTGTCGTTAGATGCACAAAGGCACCTGATTGCTGAATTGCCGATGCTCAATCCTGAACCTGATAGATTGCTTGTGGAGCTTTTGGGGCCTGTGAATCTCGATCGTCCCCCAAGAGGTTCCTAGTAGTATCACTCCATCAAATAACTACAAAATCAGGTTTGCGTATTGTTGTGCCGTTTTGGGAACCATCCACCCCGTCTGTATTAAGGGTTTCACCATCTCCTTGGGAGCTGGAGCCTTTCACCTGCAACCACTTGTACCTACTCTTCAATAATATAGCCAGCTGAATTACCACTACCTGTCTTAAAAATTACCTTATGATCCTTTAGGTTTAAATTAAGTTAATTTTACGTTTACTTACCATATTATTTTGATTTCCTGGAACATTCCAAGTAGTCCAAATTAGTGTAAACACACGTCTAACACTCACCATCCGCAATTATTGGTTCTGTACACCAGGTTTAAATAGATCTATTTACAACGGTATTTTGAGTATTTTGGTATTGATTTAAGGGGCGTGTACCGTACTTAATTATCACCCTTCACTTATTTGAACTCAATAAATGTAATTACGAAATTAATTATAACTTTTGATTACTATAATGAACTAGAATGTAAGGTAAGGTTTGGGAACTTTAAGACTGTTTTCGTATTTCTGTGAAGGTAGATATTTAGTTTTGCTGGCTTTATTTACATTATTTACTGATTTGGGCCAGTGATTATTGTTATGTAAATTAGTTAAATATAAATATTGACGTATCCATTTATCAGGGCCGTACTATTGTACATTATATATTGAATTTAATAATAAGAGAGTTATTTGAATTCCAGGCTATTATTTTGTTATTTCCTATTAGAAGTTTTAGGTGGGTGCAGTATTAGTTGGCCTCAGAGATTTCCTGTTTTCCGATTATTAGGGACTCCGTAGGGCACTAAAGCAGGTGGCGCTCATTTCTGATTTTAATTACTCACACCCCTCTCCGCAGTGAGAGCTAGTCGGCCGCCCTGAAAACGGAGGTACCCTTTCTGTTTTTTTTTGAACTGCCACCCCCTCACATAGGTAACTCATCCACCCCTAGTTACCTCTGCCTATTTAGCCTCTCTTGCCCTTCTAAATATTTTTATTAAACTAATAATCCTGGTTAATTAATGGTAATAAATCAGATGTGGCTACAGTTGGATGGTGCACCAGCTCACTGCAGTGCAAACGTCAGGGGATATTTTACACGCCAATTTGGTAATAGGTGGATTGGAAGAGAAGGTTTGTTATAATAAAAGAATTACTCTTGTATGAGATAAATTGTATACTGGTCTTTAGGTTCCACTGAATGGCCTCCAAGGTCACCGGATTTAACGCCACTGGATTTATTTTTGTGGGGAACCGTTAAATCCGAAGTCTATCGTTTTGCGCCCACAACAAGGGAAGATATGGTCGAGCGTATTCAAGAGTCCTCTAGACGTATAACGAATAATATGCTTCAGGAAGTTAGAAGATCTTTTGCGCGTAGAGTTAATCTGTGTTTGGAGCAAAATGGCAGACATTTTGAGCAGTTGTTGCGTTAGCGTTAAAGATTTTTACAATAATTATTAATGCTTATTTCATTATTAATGTTATCCTTATTATTATTGGGTATATTAATTATTTATGAACGGAAAGAGGACAAAAGAGAAATGAACTGTGCAGAGTGGGTTTATAGGTACCTACTCCGTTAAAAAATCCATGATTGATTTGTGTTCGCGTAAGTTTCGTAATGAAAAAATGAGCAATTCTTAGTTTAATATCAATTTTTGAGAAAACGGTTGGAGATCAAGGTAAACATATTGGTATCAAATTAAAGATAAATAAACACTTCAACGGAAAACGTCACTAGATATAGGATGTCCCATTTAAAAAATTAGCGTAAAGCACAATGGTAAATATCAATACCGTAAATCGGGGTAACTTTGTGACTTGGGTATTACTTTGGGACACCTGGTATTTTTCCCACACTGTGCCTTAAAAAAATATTCAAGCAGTAAATATGACAACTTTTGGTATTCAGTCTTGTTTATAACATAATAATAAGAAAAAAAAAAAGTTTGGCAACACTGTATTTGTTCTGGCAACAGCAGTGAATTTTTAAATGCAACAGGTCTTCACACGCATTTTTAAAATATCTGCAAACTTTCCATTGGGCAGCTAAATCGAGTAGAACTACTTTATTTTTGGTGAGTACATCTGATGTGGTTATATTTTGACTATGTTTTGATAATATAACAAAGCAAATTATCCACAACCAAAAAAATATTATTCCTATTTACATAAATAATGGTAACATAGGGAGGTAACTTTGGTACATGTCCCAAAGTTAGACTGCGGACATTTGCTTTGGAATCTCATTTAAAAAACGTTGTGTACCAAAGTTACACTGCAAACATATTCTACAATTTTTGTTAATCTCTTTCAGAAATTATAATGCCACGCAAGCCACAGCGTCTACTTGGTGCGCGAAATTATAAAAATTATTCGGAAGAAAAACTTCAACAGGCTATTGATGAAATTAAAAGTAAATCGATTTCTCTCCGTAGTGCATCAAAAAAGTATCAGATAGCGAAAAACACTTTATGGAATAAAATCCATGGCAAGCATAGTCGTAGACATGGTAAGCCGAGGGTCTTCTCCGAAAATGAAGAAGAATCCTTCGCTGGACACTTAATTGCTTTATCTGCCTTTGGTTTCCCCGTAACAGCTGAAGACCTAAAAGTTTGCGTCAAAGCTTACTTGGACAGGCAAGGAAGAAAAGTTACTTGTTTTAGAAACAATTATCCAGGTCCTGACTGGGTAGCTTTATTTTTAAAACGCAGGCCAGAGCTCAGTCAAAGGTTCTCCCAAAATATTTCGCACGCACGAGCAGGAACGGACGAGACGGTGATTAACGAGTACTTTGATAATCTCCAAATGGAGCTGGAAGGTGTCCCTCCAGCCAACATTTATAATTACGACGAAACAAATCTCGTCAATGATCCGGGCCGATCCAAAGTTATTACAAGGAAAGGGACCAAGTACCCTGAGAAGATTCGCAATTCCTCTAAAGCTTGTACATCCCTTATGATTTGCGGAAATGCTGAGGGTGAGCTTGCTCCGGTTTATATCAACTACAAAGCTCAAAAGCTATGGTCAACTTGGACGGAAGATGGTCCATTACATGCCCGCTATAACCGAACCAGTAGCGGGTGGTTTGACTTCCAAGTATTTGAGGATTGGTTTATTAATTTAATGCTGCCAATTCTAAAACGAAAAGAGGGACGTAAAATTTTAATTGGGGACAACCTTAGTTCCCACCTTAACGTGGAGGTGATCAGACAGTGCGAATTGAATAATATAAGATTTATTGCACTGCCTCCTAACACTACGCATCTCCTGCAGCCGCTGGATGTAGCATACTTCCGTCCTATGAAGGGACACTGGAGGCAAATCCTAAATGACTGGAAGAACACAGCTGAAGGATGTCGTTTTAGCGGCATACCCAAGGATACATTTCCTAGGCTTTTAAAAACGCTGTTGACAAAATTGGAAGAGCGCGGTGCTGAGAATCTTAGATCTGGGTTCAGAAAATGCGGAATTTATCCTTTCAATAAGGAAGTCGTTTTGAATAGATTGCACGGACACGTGGTGGCTGATGACCCTGCAATACAAAAAGTTGTTGGCGAAAGCTTTTTGGGACATCTTGCTCAAACACGCCACGAAACCACAGCACCCCGCATTCGTAGAAGAAAGAAACTACAAGTGCCTCCTGGTAACGGTTGCCGATGTACAGAATGCCGCCTCCACAGAGCCTCTCAACAATTCGCCGCAGCCCTCCACGTCTGGAATCCAGAACAGGGGGAGCATACAAGAGCCTCTTGGAGGTTCAGATTCTGACGACAGCTTACCTGTAATCAATATGAAAAGTCAGAAATCTAAAAGAACGAAAAACGATTCAGAGAGCTCTGATAATAGCATTCAGAGCGTAAAATATGCAGAAAGTGACGATAGCCCTTACAATCCCGAACTGTCAGATGATGAAGTCAATGTAGAAGTTGTAGAACCAAATGAAGTCAAAAAACCTGCATTTTCCGTGGATTCAAAAAAAGTCGGAAATTACGTTTTGGTTATTTACAACAAAAAATATTTCCCTGGACAAATCACGAAAGTTCATAATCTTGGAGCCATTGTAAATGTTATGACACCTTACGGCAAGCAATGGAAATGGCCAACTCACAAAGATGAGATATTTTATAGCAACAAAGAAATAATAATGGCAATAAAAACACCTGAACGTCGTGGACATCGAGAAGTTTTCGATGTTCCCGAATTGAAAGATTTTCTTTAAGGAATATATTATGTTTTTAAGACAGCTTTCGTTTAAGTTCTAATGATTTGAAATGTTAAAACTTTTTTTGTATTGGTTATCTAGCAATAAAAGCTCTTAAGAAATTATTAATCGTGTTCTTTTTGCCCCCACTATATATAAAAAATGGCAAAAATATGTTTTTTGGTTGCCATTTATATTTTTTTTTATTCTGTAAGGTCTATCTTTAGGACACAGGCCCATAACGTTGAATTATTCATATAAAAAGCCAGTGTACCAAAGTTACCCCAAATGGCGGGGTAAGATTGGGTCAGTTTCAAGGCCGAATATATCAACTAACAAAATAAATAAATTATGTTTTTGTACTATTTCATACTTGGGGGTGTTGGTACATTGCCATTCAGTAGTCAAAGCCCAGTTTTTTTCGCAAGTTCAAGTTTTATTTAAGAAAAACATGAAAAACTGTACCAAAGTTACCCCGGTTTACGGTATTTGAATAACGAGTTTGACCACCCTGTATCAAAAAACCCAAATCTTAGACTATTGCGAGATAAAATGATCCCAGCTAAGTACTTCCATATATTTTTACAAAAAAATAAAAAATGGTGGTGTAGATATTAAAATTTAAGTGGTATAGGTACTGGTTTCGGTAAAAATTTCTCTAAAATATTAATAACTTGGCAACGTCACATTTGAGGGCAACAAATATTTGGGGCTGAAAAGAGAGTCCAATGAGGCTTCAATTTCGGTGAAAAAATATAGGACATTCCATATGAAAAAAAAAAAATCAAATTATGTGCCATGCTTTTTTGGGACACCCTGTATAAGCTTAACTAATTTTGAAATGTAGCCCCTATAACCTCATTAACATCCCACCTATTAATTTTTTTATCCGCTCAACGACGTAGCCGCAATCGAACACCGGAGTATTAAATGGACACCCTGTATATGCGTTATAAATATAGATATAAAATATATAAATATCAGGTACAAAAATTCAATGAGAATTATTTTTCATTTAGCTTTTTGATAATAGACATTTTTCTAAATTTCAGATGCATTGAGCAAGTGATTACACCTCAAGAAATTATATTTCCGAAAACATTAGTGGCACAAAACAGGCGAAAAGAAACCTTTATGAACAGGTTTGGTTTTCCTGGAGTGATAGGATGTTTAGATCGGACACATATGGCCATACTGAAGCCAAGTCAAGAGGGAAACAATTTTTTGAATAGGAAAGGTTATTATTCTTTGAATGTCATGGTGATTTGTGATGCTGATTTAAAAATTCAGGGCATCAATGCTAATTTTCCTGGTTCTAACCATGACCTCATTGAAGAATTTCAGGCCAACCGATTGGGGGGTTCATGGTTATTGGGAGATTCTGGATACATGTTAGAACCAATATTGATGACTCCTTTCTTGAACCCTCCTGAAAACTCACCAGAAGCGAGGTACAACTCACATCACACACGAGCTAGGAATCCATTTGAGCGGTGTATTGGTGTGTGGATGTGTAGATTTACACTGGTATTCATAGTCAAACGCTGGCGAAGCGCCGAAAAGAATCGCTCGCTGGTGAATTCTCAGGCGAGCGGACGGTTGGCGGAGGAAAAAAATGTGCTTTCCATAGTCAAGGGTTGGAGAATCGCTGGCGGGCGGAAGGCGATGAAAAAACTGGCGAGCCGCCGACGCATCGTAAAATGTAAACAAAAACAAACTAGTGGAAACCTTTCGTTCCAAAGAAAAACTTGCGTGTCTGCAACAAAGTGTATTGAAATAAATATTGTATTTTATGTTAATTTAACTGCAATTATGGCAGTCGCCTATACCCGCGAAGATAAAGAAATATTGGAGCAAATTTTTAAAAAATATCCGATCATTGAAAATAAGCTCACAGCCGCATCGACAATTAAAAAAAAGAATGAAGCATGGGCGTGTTCAGGACGACTTTAATGCATGTCGTACTACAGAGAAGGTAAATATTATACATATAATGGATTCTTATCCAATTTTATATTGTGTAAATTCTTTCCACAAGCGTACTATTGTTCAATTGAAACGTTGCTGGGACAAAATTAAAAGAAAACGTAAGGAACAATGGGCTCTTTCACTAATTTTTGAAATTGGCATATTTGGATAAAGCAACTAAAAACAGAATTTTCTGTATTTTTACTTTTGAAAAATTCAAAGTCCTTCTTGAGAAAATAGAAAACAAAGAAATACCTCCAAATAAAAACCCAGAATTTATTTCTATGACGTCGCAGCTTGCAATTTGACCGTGTTGCCACTAATTGTCAACATTGAAAATTTGTAATAGATTTAATTCTGAAATGTTGGCAAAATCTCATGAAAAGTAGTTAAATTATTTAATTATAGATTCAAGATTTTATATCATTTTTGTTTTTAAATTATGCTTAAACACAATTTAATACAATTTTTCATGTTTAGTTTTATTTATTTATTTTACGCTGCACTACATTTAGTCACAACCGACAACAGCGCATTCGAACCTTTACGTATCTTTACAGAGCGCAAACACAGCCGAGCCGATCCTCCTTGCAATAACATAAGCGAAATGAAGAATATTTATGTGACGTCGGCAAATCGGCGCGATTAAAATTAATTTGAATTTGGCCACTTTTGATTGCGTGTGAAAAACTTATTGAACCTTGTAGAACATTTTTTTTTGGTATATATGCCTAAAATAGTCCCTCCTTTGAGATTTTATACTTAAATTACGTATTTAAATTTTAGTGAAAGAGCCCATTAGCTGAAGAGCGACGTTCAGGAATGCTTACAGGAGGTGGAGAATCTATGCCAGACGCAAATTTAATTTCAGGTGTGGATGAAGTTGTTCCACATTTAACAGAACATGTGGAAAATTCATTTGATAGAGACGGAATTTTTGAGTCCATTAGCGGAGATTACACAATTTTAGGTAAAGTCAAATCTATTGTGAGCATTTTAAAAGATTTTTGTTTGAAATTAATTTAAAAAAATTAAATGTGTCCATGGGTACTTATATTTTCAAATATATCGGCTAACACGATAACCCATGCAATAATTAATGAAAATGAAAATGAGCAATCATCATTACCAGGACCATCCATGCCCACGCCATCGAAGAGGATTACAAGAGAAGATCCAGAAGAGACAAAAGAAAATTTAAATAGGAAGGCGAAGTCCATTAAAAAAACAAAAGCTTTTGAGAAATCTAGTACCGATTCAAATGATCTCTTTAAGGAGAAAACCGATAATGCAAAATTAGAAAGGCAGCATTTGACAGAGCTACACGAAATCAAGAAAGAAGAAGCTATCGAAAAGAGAGAAGAGGCAAAAATAAGAAGACAAATAGCCGAAATAGATTTATTAATCAAAAATGAAGAATTACAACAAATTATGTTGCGAAGGGATAACATGAAATTTGATTAGGTATAGAATAATAATCCGTGTTTTTTTTTCCATTTTTATAAACATATTATTTACGCATAATGAATAAAGTCCATCTTATTGTTTATTTACTTGCGCGTTTTTTTTTTCGTGAAGGAAATAATAGGCGTATATTATAAAAAATTGATCTGTAAAATCACGCGCAGTCAATGCACGACGAACTCCAACCACCAACCTTGAGCATTTCCTCTTATTGGTATATTTTGCTGTATATTGTTATTTTCTTCTGCTTCCAGGACTTCTTCCATGTGATCTCGAAAATCAATGGCCTTATTATATAAAACAGCACAAGCCACTATAATTATACATATCGTCTCTAATTTATTTCCTAATCCTTTCGACAAACAAGGAAATCGTCTTTTCCACACCCCAAACAACCTTTCTACAATATTTCTTGTTCTAATTTGGCTTGAATTGTACCGAATTTCTGCGTTGTTTTCTGGATGTATTAAAGGAGTCATAAGATATAATAGATATGGATAACCACCATCACCTAACAAATATCCATGTAACTGTCCTGCTTGGAATCTCGCTTTCAATGAACTATTATTAAAAATCATACTTTCGTGTTCTTTTCCGGGCCATCTACAATATCCATAATTTTCATATTAGGCCCTGCAATAACTTGAACATTTATACTGAATGTACGTTTTTCGTTTCGGTATAGCTCCGCAAAAGGACCGCCTGAGTTTTTGATTAGTATGTGTGTTCAATCTATATAACCAATAACTTCAGGAAATTGTGCTATTTGATAAAATTGTTCATAGATACGTTGTTCATCGGCAGGTATTGTAGGCATTTTAATGGTATTGCGTGCTTCAGAGGCAAAAATTGTTGTAATTTGTCTAATTATTCTGCTGACAGTTGGTTGTGACATACCTCGAAGATCCCCACAAGTTAGCTATAAAAATAAAATAATGGTAATAGACCCTGAGATAGGGCCTGTTTAGTGGAGTCATTTTTTTTGTCTGGCATTTTGAGGGATGAATGTGACTAGTTAGCTGATGAGAATATAACTAGTTTTAATGCCTGCCTCCTGTTCGAAATGTCCACAGAATGTTTCGCCGGAAAACTCGATTTCGAACTGTGATTACCGTCTGGCGATTTTTCAGCGTTATTTTCGCAACAAAATCTTTCATTCTCTCGATTGTCAGACAAAAAGTAAACGCGGAAGGTTCTTTTCTCTTGGAAGTTGACACCCATTCCCATTTTTTCAGCTATTGAAAAGCATCTGATATTTTTCATGGATGAATTATTTATCAATGTCAATCTTTTATTTAAAAGCCAGAAAATTTGAGACCATTAAAAAAAAATTCTTCATGTAAATCAATTTTTTTCTTCTGCAAATTTTCGAACGGGAGGCCGACATTAAAATCACCCATATTCTCATCAGCTAACTAGCCACATTCAGCCTTGACTTTTAATAACCCTGGTTCCACTAGTGTAATCAAATGCTCTATAACCACATTTTTGCTAAATCTGTATCGACGTTTAAACTGGAAGTCATTGTAAAATTCAAAAGGGGTTTTCAATGTCCCTAATATATCTTTTGGGCATTCTCGCTGGAA